TAAAAACCTCACTTCTTCGGCATCCGAAGAAGTGAGGTTTTTACTCACGAAAGCTTATGCCCAAATAAATCTGTTAGTCTTTAAGGTGCCACCAGACTCCTTGTTGTTTTTGTAGATACAGACTAACACGGCTACCCCCTGATAACAAACACTGTATTCAATTATGTTTGTAATTACAGAAATAAAAGCAAAGTACACTTCTTATGCGTCTGCTAGTGAGAACTGGTTTTGTAGTCTTTTAGCATAATTTCATTCCTTATATAGAAATTGCCATTGCAACATTGCTTTTTCAGAAAGTATTTTCCCCCTTCTCCTTTGGCCTAGCTCAAAGCATGATGGGAGTCTGGTTCCATTATCATCAACACTGGTGTAACTCTCAGCGTGGTCAGGTCACTCTGATACTGGACTAAGTGACTTTGCCGCCCAGTGTGTAGCGGAGGTCGCTTCCCTTTGTTATTTGTTTTCTGCAATCAATCAATAATGAGAATAACATAGTTTTGTTTTATTTGCAAATTTATGAATTTTCAGCAAAGCTACCCCTAGTTGGGCTTATTCCAATGGGGGGGGGGAAGAGAAATTCCCCCCTCAGCCCAATATTTTTTATTTCACATTTTTGTTTTCAATGATCAACTGACCCAATTGCATCAGCGGGGGACTCTCTTAAACAAATTCCAATTCCTTGCAAAAGCTTCTTCACTGCTTGCAACCCGACCCCCACAAAACTTTGGCCCAGCAGCTCCGCCCACCGCGGCTGCGGGACTCGGAGCGGCTGCAGGACAGCCTTGGAGGCCAGACGGCAGCCCACCTCGCTCGGCTTGGGGGCCTGGCGCTGGGCTCTGCTAGCGGGGAGGGAGGGGGGTAGGGAGAGCGAATGGAATTCGGAGGACGCTAGGACCGCAGCTTGTCTGCCGCCGCCTGCTCCTCTGGGGCGAGCGTTCCTGGGGGCGGGTCCAGGCAGCCGGGGCGGGGCGGGGTTGGGCAGTTTGCGGGTCAGTCCGGGACCGGGTTGGAACGCGGCGCTCGGGCCGCGCGCGAGAGCGATTGCGAGCAGAGCAGAGGCAACGGCTCGCGCTCTCGGGGGACCAACAACGGATTCGCCCCTCCCCCCCCCACTCCATTGGTCGCGCCTAGTTCCAGCTCCCGCTGCCGGCTGCGCTTCACCGGGACCATCCGTCCCGCCCGCCTCTCCGAGCCCGCTACATGCTCAGGTACCTGCGCGGCGGCGGCGTCCCGAGCGGCCGGCTGGGGAGCGCGCGGGAGAGGTGGCGGCCGGGCTCCGGGGCGCTTGGGCAAGAGGACTCCCCGCCCCCCGCTCGCTGAACCGAGGCCGAGTGTGGAGATAACCCCCCCCCCCCGCATCTGCTCCCCCCCCTCCGCAGCGCAATGGGGGGGCATCAGTCTCGTCGCCCCAGTGGTTGGGGGTCGCGTCGCTGCGGGTCATCAGCCTGCGCCGCTCTCCGCGGCTCTAGGGGACCCCCTAGTGGGGGGAGGGGCGAGCGGCCCCGGGGAGCCGCGGGTGGGGGGAGAGCTGCCTCCGCCCAGATCTTCGCAGCCGGGCGTGTTTGGAGGCGTCCGCGCCGCTTCTCTGCGAGACGCCGGCGATCCGAAGCGGGGTTGGGGGTTCTGAGCGGCTGGCGCGGGCGCTTTGTCGCTGGGCCTCGGGAGGGAGCGGCGCCTCCCCGCTTTCCCCGGTGCCAAGGGAAGGAGCCTGAGGCCCAGGCGTGTCCCCAGGTTGATCACTGTTCCAGCCCGTGTCGAGTGGCTGTTACTAAAACGGGCTCCCTGGGATCGCACAAAGGATATAAAATTCTCAGGGGTGAGCCTCCTGGGTGCGCGATGCTCCGCAGTTATTCATTACGGTTTTCAGGGGGTATGTGTAGGGAAACGCAGTGATTAGTTGGGTCTCGAACAATAAACTCTGCGTGTGTATTTATGTATAATATAGAAATCATGATACTTTAGTGTTCCTGTTACTCAGAACTGTTTGGAGTTTAAAAACAGAACTTAGTGCATATAGATTTGGATAGTACTAGTTCAAATAGTATAAACGGAATGATTCAGTGGTTTTGTACGCAGCATTGAGGAGGATGGCAGTAGCCCATAGAGACATCTGCATTAACTGTACCTAGCACCCAGTTCATATCTGGCAAACAGCAACACAACATGCATCTTGCTTCTGACTTATTCTGCATATAAAAAGAACAGGTTAGGACAATTTGAACTACTAGTTGGATTTCACAGTAAAGGTTAGTATGACTGCAAAGTAACTCAATTCACTAACAGTTTTGTTTGATGGTGTTGAGATTAACACTATTTCTAAAACTTGAGTTCCAGGTTTTGTCTTGGACATATCACTTTAGTTTTACTCTTCTGACACTCTTTTAACTGTTTTATATACATTTGAACAGTTTCAACCAGAGAGACTAGAAAGACCTGCCATAGCCCAGGGCACTCACCTGGGAGGGGGCAGACCCATCAGATTCCTGTTCCATATCAGGTCAGACTGTGATCAGATACAAAGGTGGTGACCATGATATACGAACATTTATAGACTACAGTACAGATTAGAATTCTTTTGAACACAAAGAAAAATATAGTTTCCAAAGATGTTTTCATGTTCAATTCAAGATGGTAATGTAAATAAAAATCCCCCAGTCATCAGTTTTTGTGCCATATGCTGATCTCCATATATCCCTCAATACCATGGTCCATTCAGGACTTGCATTTATGATTCAGCCTAGAACCATTAATGCACATCTAAGGTTATACTGTGACGATATAAAACTCTGGCTAGAAGGGACACCCAGAAGCTGAGTGGTGTGACTGAACTACCAAACCAATCTGTGGAGCTAAAGAAGAAGAAAACTTTCATCGTAAGGGACATAAATTGTTAGCACCACAGATATGATGAACTGGAATTCTCTGAAGTGCACTGAAAACATAGTTTATGCTATTTGCAAGGCCAAAGCATACAGCGGAAAAAGGAAATGCAAGAACAGAATCACTAAAACTTGCTCCATAAACTCGTGCTCATGCCATTGGAAGGTAAATAAATAAAAGCTGAGGAGGCTTGGTCTGTGTCTCAAAAAGCTATTGGCATGCTGAAGATTGTGAGTCTTAAGAACCATGTTGTTCAGCCCTCTCAACCTTGTTTTTTTTGGGCCATTGAGCTGATAGCAGGCTTCCTTACTCTAGCCAGCCTCACGGGATGACTTAAAAAAATAAATAAATAACAACCTCACCATAGTAACTTATGACTACACTTTGATTCTTTGTAGGTGAGCTAGAGTCCCACCATGCTTTGTGTTTATAATTCTTTGTATTTAAGCTTAACTTTATCTGCCCTATTGTGTTATCAATAAGCTGAATTTTGCTTGACCGTAGCATATTAGTAAGGGGTTGTGTGTCCTCTGACCCATTGACTATTAGGAAATGTGTCCAGATGGCCAGAAAAGGGCTACTTGTGATTGAGGAGTGGGTAGCTGTTTTCTGTAATTGATGAAGTAATGATCTTCTGATAGATGCTTTTAGTTTATCAGGAACCACTCTAGCAAATGTTTTGTCATAATGATCTGGCTACAAATATATTTTATGATTGAACAATCCATTATTTTATAAAGAAGGATATTGAACAATTGAAAATGGTTCAGCGAAGAGCAGTCAGAATGCTAAAAGGATTAGGAAGCATGCCTGATGATAGTAGACTCAAAGAACTCAGTGTATACTTCTAAGAACCAGGGTCAGGCCAATGGTTGATCTAGCCTACTATCCTCTCTCTGTTTGTCAGTGGCCAGTACCAGAGCTTCAGGGAGAGTGTGCCAAACAGGACAGTTGGAATGATCCTCCCCTGTTTCTCACCTGGCTTCTGGCAGTCAGAGATTTAGGGCCACCTCAAGCTTGGGGGTTGTATCCCTGACCATCTTTGCTAATAGCTGTTGATTCTTCTTAACCAAGGGAAAGTTAAGGGGTGACTTGGTTAGTCTATACGAATCTACAGGGGGAACAAATGTTTAATAATGGAATTTTCAGTTTAGCAGAGGCAGATATAACGTGATTCAATGGCTGGAAGTTGAAGCTAGATAAATTAGACTTGAAAAAGGGATACATTTTTAATAGTGAGAGTAATTAATCATTGGAACAATTTACCAAGGATTGTGGTGGATTCTCCATGACTGACAATTTTTAGATTTAAGTTTGGATCTTCTTATTAAAAGATGTGACCTAGGAATTATTTTGAGGATGTTCTTGGCCTATGTTATACAGGAGGTCAGACTAGATGATCACAATGGTTCCTGCTGACCTTATCCCTGAAACAGGTGTCTTCAGCTTACCAATTATGTAAAGCAGTGCTAGTAAATATTCATCTTTTATAATTCTTTGTGTATTAAGCTCACAGTTCTTTGGCCAAAAATTCCAGAATTCTTGCTGTGTTGGCCGAAGCTTGTCTACGATAGTGCTTTATTTTAAACTGAGCTACTGTGAGACTAACATCTGTTATCATTAATAGGACTGTATTGTAATATCCACTCTTCTTATTCTGACCTTGCTGACATAGTCCAGAAGCAGAAAGGACTAATTAACAAAGTTTGGTGGTTGTCATAAATGGGCAATGTAATTGACCAGATAGGCAGGGAACATTTATTGTAACAGCAAACCATTGAGTAATGAATTGATTAATATCTAAGTCACTAAGAGATAATTATGGCCACAGATGGCTTCAGGATACTCCTGGGGGAATTCTGTGCCACTGCATGTGTGCATAATTAATGAGCTGTGCATATTTTTAAATTTTTTTTTTGCACAGAAAAAAGCTTCTGCTGTAAAGTTGCTGCAGTTTCATCTTTTGCCCACCAGAGGGTGATAGACCACAGCAGCTGCTGCCAGTCAGCTAGGGAAGAGAAAGAGCCTGCAGAGCCTTCTTCACCGCACCTGTAGGGCCAGGTCAGGAGACGGGCTATGGGGAGACAGTGTGGGGCTGCTGGGGGGTCCACAAACAGGGGCGTCCACAGACGGGCTCATAAGGGCTAGTGGGGAAGGACAGACTGGGGCAGTGGCTGAATGGGAGTGGAGGCGCAGGGCCACATAGGGATGGGGGAGTGGGTGTCTTGAGTGTGGGTGGAGGGACACCGTGCCTAACTGAATGGGAGAGGTTAGGGGTCAGCCAGGGTCTGCATGGGGGAAGCTCCCTAACAGTTCCTCCCGTCTCCCTCAAGAAACTTGTTCCAGAATTTTTTAATTTTTTGGTGCAGAATTCCCCCAGGAGTATAAGTAGTGATTAAATAGTTACAGCTGTCATTGGCTTATTGATTAGGTAAGTTAAATAAGACTAAAACATGAGGGAGAAAATTTCAGTAAGGACATTCTGATATCTAAGAAATTCCTCAGACTCCATTTTGTGTCCCTAGCTTCCATTTGGAATAAGCAAAAATCACTCTACCATTAGACACTGCATGTCATATACCACTGGATGCTGCGAGTCACATGGTCACTGAAAATAGCTCAAGGGCAGAAAGGTTAAAGTAGTAATAAAATAAAACAATGATGGGTCACCACAGGTGAGCTTCTGTGGTGCAGAAGGGGAAAGATTGCTTGAGCTTCAAATGAGGTAAATAACATAAAATTAGCCGAAAGCCAAGGGGGTGAAAGATCAGCAGATCATAACTTTGAAGTAAACAACTGACAGTGACCATTTGCAGTAAGGAGCTGATAGGACAGTATAAAAGTAGACACTCAGGAGCAGGGAGAGCAGTAGGGAGAAGATTGGGATGGAGCGGACAGGAGCTCCCAGTTGAAGCGATTGGGATGGAGCAGAGCCAAGCTGATAGAGCTGCCTGAAGCTGACAGCAGTGGCAGCAGTAGAAAGCAACTGACAGTAAGCTTGCTAGTGATAATTATAGTGTAGCATAGCATAAAGTAGTATAGAGTGTGTGTAAGTTAGTAAAGACTGGCCATCTGTTACAGAGCACACTCAGAATCATTTGAACTGTACGTTATTGCGGTTTAAAATGCCTTTTAGCTTAGAATAAGGGCTTTGTATTTTATTTAGGTTTTTAGGTTATTACTGTATTAGGAATTTAGTTGCATTAATAAAAAGATGCCTTGTTTTGGAAAAAATACTGCCTGTCAATCATTTATTGGAAGGCTGTATCTGTGTCCTTCAAGTATTTCCTTAACTATCCTGAAAACCCATACTTTAGGAAGGACAGATTAAGGGAGCAATAGGTAGGCTATTCTAGGGGCTCCCAAAACCTGTTTTTGGGTAACAATCCCTGGGGGAAAAAAGGCTTTTAAAATGTTTTTTATTCTAAACTAATATGTCTAGGGGAAGTTGTGGAATCTCCATCATTGGAGATTTTAAAGAGCAAGTTAGACAAACATCTGTCAGGGATGGTCTAGATCAGTGGTGGGCAACCTGCGGCACATGCCCGCATGCCGCCTGTCAGGGTAATCCACTGGCGGGCCACCAGACAGTTTGTTTACATTTGCATGGAACTGTACACTTTGTATTCTTTGGTGTAATTGAAATCAATATATTTGAAAATTTAGAAAACATCCAAAAATATTTAAATAAATGGTATTCTATTATTGTTTAACAGTGAGATTAATGGCAATTAGTTTTGTTAATTGCTTGACAGTCTTAGTTTAAATATGTGTGTATAGTTAAGGTGTACCCTCCTAGATATCAAAAAAGATTTACCAAATCTAGTTTAAAGGTTCTGTGTAGTTGTAAGTCATGTTTTAATGGTTATATCAACCAATGAGAATTTAACTTTA